GCTATTCGAGCAGTGGCAAGGCGAAGAATCAGAGGGCCTGGTACCATGAGCACTCCACTTGGAGGCACCAACCAGCCACAAACTTTGTCCCCTGGCCCTTAGCAAGCCCGCCGCCAGCCTGCTGTCAGCTTCAGCCATGAGTCTAGGTACCTCCCGACAGCTTAGTCTGGGATGCAGAGTACCTGCTACGAGGAGCCACTAGCGTGCGCCTGGCCCTTGTCCATGGTGCGGGAACTATCGGAAGACTAGAGCAACACGAACTGTCATTCCAAGCCGACACATGTTGCCAGGCCCCTTTGAGCGCAGCGCCGATGATCGGACGGTCTGCTGCAATGCGACCGCACGGGCTGCATGCTTCAGATTACTGAAGAGACGTGTGTAGAAAGAAGGTTAGATAGCTAGAAGAAATCAGGATTGCGGTATTAGCCCTTTCCAACCTAGATAACACATATACAAATCGCCTAGAAGCCTATCAGGCTCTACACCAATTACTTGCCCACGCATCTGTCTGCACGTGTGACCTGCAAAGTCGCTCAACCCTACCCTATAGTCACGATGCACCAAACAACATGACAACATGATTTCGAAGCTGAACCCTTTGACCGCTACCGCCTGTGCCGTTCTACCCGGGTAGCTTGATCCGTACCCCATACCCACTTTGCAAACTACGATTCTAGCTCCTCCACTTTCAACTATACGCACGAGTTTTGCTTCCAGAAGACAGACTTGTCGCTGTCTAACAGACGCTGCTACACCGGTCGGTGTTTGACCACGAGCGCAAGTCTGAACCCCCACTTTTCCGTCTTCGCCGCCAGTGCGGATCCGGTTCGCGACCGGATGGCTACTTACGCGCGAGACACAATCGAGAGCCCTGCATATATTGGCCTACTTGTTTGCAATCACGGCGGCCCAATTTGCTCGAGCATGGATTGGCGATGTATGACGCACGCCTGAATACATGCGTGCTATACCTTGGCAATGTCTGAGACACCCATGGTTGTTGTGCTCCAATTTGCTGGCCGGAGCCTTTGCCCGCGGTCCTATGTGGCGGTGCTTCGGCGCAACGAAGATCATTATATCACAGGTCACCTTATCCGTCACCTTGTTAGGCAATCCGTGATGCGGTTGCTGTCACAAGACACGTAATTGTGAGGTTGGTGGCAGGCGTCGCTGATCGCTTCGGACGCGTTCTCTGGTGATATTCTCTCGGCGAATAGAGAAACGTGGTTTAGAGTTTGGTCCCTAGAGGAAACGCCTGGGACGGGAACAGACGAGGTGCGTGCGTGCCTCGTAACGAGTCGGGGCTTTCGCATCAGGGTATCCCTGCTCGGTGTCTTGGCGGGGGGCTTTTGTGGAGGATGCTTGGTAGTCTGATGATGCACAATAACTCCACGCCATGAATATGCACGCGTTTGCTTGCTGGCGAGCGGGAACTGCCTCCATGACATCACTCTCATGCACCTTGAATCCTTCGCTATGTAAAGTATGGCCGACGAGCACTGTGGGCGTCCCACGGCGCGTTTACAGCGTGAAGATTATGCATCTTGTACACCGCAACGCTGTGACTACGCTAGCTGGTCGATGTTTGACCTGACCGGACGGTGGCTGCGTCTCCCAGGTCTCCTAATCTTAAAGCTGCAGCTACGGCACCTATGCACATGCAAGCAAGACACCGCTCCCACTATGCACGATGGCGTAGCCATGAAAACGATGGATAAGCGAAGGATAGGATACAAGGGCTTCTCGAAGATTTCCTGCTGCAGGTTAGTGAGGCTTAACGGCGCGTAGTGCACGCTACTGCAGGTTTTCATGCATTTCGTTAGTGCGCGGGCAGGCTGATGGTGTAGGGATCACCGGATTCCCCTTTTGGGGGCCAGCACCTGCGGCTCCGGGGTTCTGCCGTGAGTTGGGCGATGAAACGCAACACGCGTAAAGTAGGTGTGAGATTTGTGGTCTGATTATGACGTATGGATCTACTACTTTGAGCATTGAGATGATTGTTTGCGGACCTCTGTACAGCCGAAATAGCCATCGCATCCTAGTCCTGTGATATGTCTCGAATAATCTTGCGTAAACTTCGTCCAAAGTGTGACAGAAGTTTCAATCCGCTAGTGACCTCTAGCTCGGCCAACGGAACAGTAGGTCAAGACGCTCGCGCAAGGTGTCTCAGCACCCTGTTAGGCCGTATGTGGAAGAATGCACGAGATAGTTTGATGCATGGCAACGTGCATACCTCGTGGTTGGGCTCGAGCTAAGACATTGTCCAAGCAATTGATAGTTGCACTTGCTCCAGAGTACTCACTATGCTTGCTGCCGATCATCGCCGATACCAGCTTTTGCAATCCCCCACGGCATCTCGATGGTCCATGCGGGCATTTGCCGATAGTCGAATTCAAAATGCAGTCTGGAAACTGAATGGCCTTTGAGAACTAGACGCGAGGCTGTGTACGCGCATCAAAGTATCATGTTGAGTGCCTCGGTTCACATCCAGATGTCGCTCTTTGCCTCTCAGCTCTCGCTTTCCCTGACCGCCGCATGCTGGGCGACAGCTGGCGATACGACGGCCACGGTAGCCGGTCTGAGCTTTACCAGCCACCCCTCCACATCCCGCTGGCCCTGGTGGTGTTGAGAAACACGTTGTCGCGCTAATGGCTACCTGCTTCCGATTTAACCGACTGCCAATATCCATGACACCTTCGTGGACAGGCTGAGGTTGTTTCGTATCAATCGCAAGCTGTTATCGCCGACCTCGTGGGCAGACAAAGCGGCCAACCTCGGTCTGGGTCTGCGACTGGGGTGGCGATGTCATCGCAAATCGGTGATTTGATGAGGGGTGTTGATCTTGGGGTCGCGGTAAGTAAATTGGCGGGTCCCTGAATCCCAGTTAGCTGGTTGGAAAGATCTATCCGACGGAACGATGGAACCGGAGGACCGTGCGTGCGTCAGCCAAAAATGTGTGTCCTGTTGACATGTGCTTGGAACCGGGCCGGGGTAGGGGAGGAGTGGAATGTCGCGGGCTCATAGTGTTTTCGCCGTTGTCGCGAAATCAACCGTGGGCATGCATGACATACTCTAGTAAGACCGAACCTTGAGGGGGGCAATCTTCACCCTCGAGGGAAAAACATCCCCTCCCCCGGTATCTGAGACGTGGGATGTGGGTGCAAAGGTAAATCGCGCCGCTGGCTGCCTGGAAAGTATTGACGAGACGGTCACACGATGACCCTGTCGACGTTGGTGAGATCCATCCATGGATGCGAGGGATCCCATGACGTCACCGCAAGGAATTTCGCAGCTCCCCACGTGCAGCCTTCATTTTGCAATCCTCGGGCTGCAGCGTAGTCTCTGTCGCCATGACGAAGACGTTGAGCTGGTATAACGGTATATGCCGGTCTCACGCCGACACAGAAGATATTGCGAGGCCGTAGCGGTCGAGCGGCTGGACGCTGCCAAAGTTCGACGAGCTCGTTCGGCCAAATGGGGATCTTTCGGGTTATGAGAGCTTCGCACCCATGAAGCAAGAGAAGTTTTCAAAGGGTTGAGGTAGGATTTGGAGGCGTTGGGTAGTGTCGTGTCCAGTATTCTTTGCCATACTTCGAGAAGATCCAGGTAGGTCAAGAGCGAGGCGGGCAAGGCTGAGAAGACGTATGCGAACCCGAATCCGAAAATTGGTACACCCACGCTGAAAGAAAGACTCTTCTACTTCTACGCTCGAATCTGTCGCACACAATTTGGATCATTCGTAGCAGTTTCTAGCCCCGTGCTATCTATGTCTTTAAGTCCTCTCGCCAAGACAAGACCTTCAACGTCACTTCGACGTAGGAGTTATCTGACCCAAAAAAGCAAGGAAAAATAGGATGCAGAAGGATTCAGAGTTCGAGCCGCAAGGATATGCAACAATGCGCATTCCCACACCTCACTCTTACTATGTATTCCAAGTCTCCACAAGAATTTCTACTATTTTCGCAATCTCGTTCTTCAACCCAGTCGCAAAACATACAACAACACATCACGACACGATGGTAGTCAGCCCATGTACTACCCAAACAGGCTAGTTGCCGCCTGAAATAACAAGCATTGATCAACACCATACCTTAGATCCAAGCCATCACCGGGTATCGGCAATCTCGCAGCATACACGGAGAAGAAAAGTCGTACGTTTTACGGCTACGCACACCGGCAGAGCTGGAACGGCCCTTCCGCCGCAATCAATCCTTCTTCTTTGGGCTGCATCGTCGCTCCACTTGCGCCTTGATCGGTGAGGAAAATTGTTGTCGCCACGATGCGGTTCAGGCATAGCGTTATCCCGTACGCTGGGAGAAGGAGAATTGTTTTCTGGATGAGGCTTGGGTCAGGTAGAGGTGCAGCTGCTGAGATCATACTTGGTGGGTGATCCTGGAATACATCATATTCCTGAATGCGACATTCGAGACGAATGCGACGTAATGGTCCCACGGGAAGGGCACAGGACTTAGCTCGTCCTTTGCTGTTTTCTAGCCCAGCGCTCTAGCTGCATTCGAGAAGAAATAGAAGATGCGTTAGAAGCTGCGTTAGAGGAGCCATTCGATGGAGCGGAGTCATGATGATGATGCTCCTTCCCCTCACCTGTCCCATGGAAGTCTAAGTGACAGTACTGGTATCGCTTTCGTGTGATCAACGCACAGACACACATGGCATTGTGAGGACATCATCAAGAGAATCGCATAGGCATCGGAGTCTACAGACCGACAATTATTATTGCTATCATACACAAGAGTGGCGGCGCTTGCGGCACGGCATGTACGCCGAACTGTGGACCGGCGGCAAGCGTCCGCCACGGACTCGCCGCTAATCACGCTGTAGTACCCACTTGAGAGGGCCCTGCTCAAACAAGGCCACCTCTGCCATCCCTACTCTGTTATTCTACGGCAACGAGAGGCTGAACCCTCTTGTGGGACGCGTTTTTAACCTAGATGTTGACTCGCAGCGTCTCCAGCTTCGTCGATCATGCCCCCTGCGAGGATCTACGCTTCTTCTGTGGGCATTCTGGCTGCAGGAGGGCGATCAGGGTCTTGCGGTATCGTGACGCTAGCGATGTCCACATTGGAGTGACCCTGCCGTTGGAGCTCGTTGTCAGCTGATGTAGACGTGTTCGGCTCCGTGACGAGGTCTTCACGCTCCGCGGATGGCTCTTGCAGAGATGTTCCTGTCGCGACAGCCTTCTCTGCAACAGTAGGCGTGTTTTGAGTTGACAATTCAGGGTCTTCGCGCACAGCATCCTCCTTACGCACTGGAACTTTCTCAGGATTGAGGCGAGCATCTGAGAGATGGTTTAGATCTCGCGGACTCGCGATGCCGGCGTCCTCAAGGATACCTGAGGTTGGTCGCAGAACCCGAGACCTAGGCGACGCCTCCGGTATGTCAATTTCCGGTGCATCATGATCTGTGCATGAGGCATTCTCCCTTGGCTCGAGTTGCGATTGGTCGTATTCAGATACGACTGTTGGTTGAGACTCCACACTACTGGTGTTTGGCTGAGCTGCAATACTCTGGCACATTGCCTCGCTAGTCACTTGCATATCCTTGTGGGGCTCCTCGTGGGGTGTGGCTGGCTCTCGTGCTTGATCGGCGCACGCTGCCGCTGTGGTTTCTGTTCTGGGAACAGCGTCATGTCTTCGCTCCAGACCGTCGTCTCCAGATGCGATGATCTCCACCCGACCTAGATTTCCGTCCGAATGATGATCATTTCCATGTGTTGTTGTTGTGGTATTCGAGACGAGGGCAGAGTCACACGCAGTTCCTGGGACATCATCCACTGCACCGCCAAGCGATGGTTGTTTCCCTTTTCGCAAGGTGCCCCGGCCCCGTCTGCTCGTCGTGCCCCGAGCTTGCACTGATTCCGCACTTGTTCCCTTAGCTCTTCGTGCAAGTCTTGCTGCACGAGCATCTTGAGGAGCATCGTCATCCTGCCTCACCTCTACTTCCGCATCGGCCTCCGGTGTATCAGCTTTCGGTTTCCCTGCAGTTGCGAGTTTCCGCAGCTGCGCCCAAGTCTTTGCTTTTTCGCTCTGCTTTGCAAGCTCTTCCTCGCTCAGCTCAACCCATTTGGCGCCAACTTTCTTCATACCGGTGAACTTCAGGAAGGTCAGACCCGATCCACTAGTGTCCATGTACTCGGATCCCTCAGGCGGCGCATTTCTCCCTCGCGCGTACGTTTCGCTCGGTCGGTGATATTGCTCACTGGTCCTGTAACTGTCATGGAATTCGACTGAATCGGAAAATTTGAGGCGCTTGCGTGATATCGAAGCTGATGAGCTGTGCGATCGTTTAGGCGATGGCCTGGGAGACAGCGATATGCCTTGCTGTCCAAGTGGTGCTATATCGGATGATTCTCCTGACCGCTGGGTAGTAGGCGAGTGTGATCTTCGACGCTTGGGACCATCTATATCTTGTTTGTCGTTGACAAAGTCCCCTCCTCCAAGGTCCCTGTCCTCGGGATGTTCATTCTGCGCGTCTCTTGCTGGTCCAGGTGCTTCGACAGTCATCAACCAGTTGTCGAACTCCATATGAGCCCTCTTGTGGTTATCCCGCGCGAAAGATTTACTGATTGAGTCGCGCTTGTTTTCGAGTACAGCCCATTCTGTATCGGCTGCTCTTATCGCGTCATACAGAGAGTCGAATCGCTGACATGTGCTGCATCCTGCATGGGAGGCATCCGGCGAGGTCGTGGGCACAAGCCCAGTGGCGGATACCACAGCGAGGACTCTAGCACATGACTTGCACTCCACAGAGTCGTATTTGGTGGCCATCCGGGTGGATTTAGTTGCGAAGGTGTTCGGTCGCTGGAGTAAGCGCGTTCGATTGACAGGATGTGGACGTGAAGCTCGCGAGATTGATAAGTAATGAATGCGTGCACAGTTATATTTGACTCATATATGTGCGAGCGCACTGATTGTAGTCGTAGTGGGGTGAGTAAACAGATGGTGATGGAAACAAAGACGCGACTGTGGAGATGTCACGTCTGCAACGAGCGCGCGTCGCCCTTTGACGCTTCTGCAAACAAGTGTCGTATTATGTGAGAGCAACAATCGCAAGAGACGCATTGAGAGAAAAGCAATAGGATTGAAGTCGTAAGATTTTGTTGTTCCGGGCAGCAACCGCATCGTTGTTGCCTCGCTATCGATAATCCCTGTCGGCAGTCCCCTTTTCGCACGTCCACAAACAGCAATCGCGATGCTTCATCTTCACATCACTCCACACCGCCGACCACCATCCTTTGAATTTTGTCGCGTCCATGCGTCGCCTCAATACCTGATGATGTCCTTGAGCTTGCGATATTATACAGACCTCACTGTTATGATGAGGGCAGGACCACAGCATCTGACAAGCTCCGCCATGGACCAGTGGCAATTACGTCATCAGAGATATTCGCAATTTTATCACGGCGCAGATTCTCGACACAACCCCGATCAGGTCACCTGTCCAACGAAGGTATCAATCATAAGGAGCTATACTCTCATAACCGACCCTATCATTCGAATCAGACGACTACAAGACACTGCTATGGTTTCACGAAAGTTCTTCCGCCCCGCCTCACGGTTGTGAAAACAATCGTAACTCTCTGGAAAAGACTGTAACCATTCTTTCTCCGAGCGTATGTTCGGTTAGATCATGTTGGTCGTTTCAAGTTCGATAGAACGTCCTCAATTTGCCTTTCCACTTTTCTTTCAGTCTGGATGATATGCTCTGATCTCCACGCACATTACTTCCACCTTGATCACTTGCGGAGCCTGCAAGCTGAGCGCTTGTTTCTGTCGGATCTGTGGAGCTTGAGGATTGAGCTGCGGTTGACTGACTGGCTGACGCCGATAAGCTCCCATGGCTGCTACTCGATACCGGACCTGCGGCAGGTGCTTGGAGGTTCCGGGCTTCAACGCGGCGGCCCAGACTTGAAAGATTGACAAATACAACAGCGCCGGTTGCATTCAAAGCCGAAACATCGACAGGGGCGGCGTCTTTCGATTTGTGTGTCAGCAACCACGATTTGGACACAATATACTGCACTGGATCGTGATGGCCTTGATTTCCAACCTGTTTACCCTTGGTGCACTGGCAACAGTGGAAAGGCGGGCCTGGCGACATCCAAAAGAGTTTACGCGTCAATCCACCCGGTTCCAGCTCAGTCTCTAGTTGTTGTAGCCTTTCTTTGCGCAGCAATGCAAGAGTTGAAATGGAAGAGGCTAGATAGTCCTGACCCCTAGGAACGGACCGCCATGCCGCGCAGACTGCGTCAGGCTTACTGGGACAGATGAGGTCGCCGAATCCCTTGCCGAAGATTGGCAGCACACCTATAGCAGGCAACAAATTGACCCAACTATTATCTCCTGAGCTGAACCGCTCAATACGAGGGACGCACTGAGGTCGAGACTTGACAAGATCCAGGATATCGAAACCTAAGAGGCCTTTCCTGGCATCCAGAGTTTGGGAGATTCTGATACCGCTTTCCGTGGCAATACGGGTTTGGTATTCGATAAGGAGCTCAAGCGAATGTAGAACCTTGTCCACTCTATCTCCAAAGGTGGAGTATGTGTTTACCGGCTGCCCGTTTGAGAACGTCTGGTTCTTTATGTAGACGGGTAGTGCACGATTCTTCCAACTCTTTAGTGTACGTATTGACGCAGCACGCCCACTGAAATTTGCCCAGTCTTCTTCTAACTTGTCTTTCTCGAAGACCCAGTGGTAGGTGGATTCAGGGTTGATCTCATCCAGCTGCAAAGACGTTCGCACAAGGTGGAGTAGTGCAGAAGCACCATCTACTAGCCAAGCTCGGTGGTCTGTTACATCGTAGAAAGCGACGAACTGATCAGCAACCCATTCGAACACGGCAGAGTAATCGCGGGTTTCGCCAAATTTCACTGGCTGTTCTCTCTGATTGATACGTGCGTTTACACCACCTATCACATAGAGCCCTCTTTCGACATATATGCGATCGATGGCTGTGTACGCAGGACATGGTATGGATCCAGATGCAGAGATGCTAAGGTCAGCCTGTGGATGGCCTGTTGACACAATTAGACTTCTTCTCTTGTGTCAAATGTATTCCGGCTCATGACTCACCGCAGAGTGCCGTCACTTCAGAGCACCATCCTATGATATGACGAAAGTCGTCCAAGGAGCGGAGCAAGGGTGTTTCTTCTTTGTTTGAGATCGATTCTTGTATCCGGGGATCGAAGTAAGATATGCGGTCTTCTGGCTTGCTGCTAGTGAAAACATGCCACATAATGAAAGCACCATTAACCTCAGAAGCAACCACTAATGAGTTGAAGCCTTTCATAACGATCCTGTTCTCAAGACGAACAATTTGGTGGGCTTGCATAATGCTCGTCATGATGCTCAATGATGTCTCAAGACCACTAGATGGTGTTGACTTCCGGAGAACAGGATACCCGGTAACCAATACAGGGTTCGTAAACAGTCTAGTCCAGCAATTACCTTGGGCTGAAGTGGTTATTCCCTGATTTTCTTGAACATCGAAATCAAGTCGAGCTACTACGGAGACATCTCGGCTGTTTGATCTTGCCAGTGGTGAGATTGTTATACGTGGTGACAACACAGTGACTGTCCCCTGTAGTGGCGAATGTCGTAATACTGCAGCTAGCCATGCGATCTGGTCGGTAAACTCGGATAACATGTAGGGGCCACCAGAGGCCCATATTTGGCAGTTGCCATTTCGCTGACTTGATATTAATACATGGAGGGTGGGTGGGAAAGAGTCTAATGTTGTGTCAGTACATAGATCGCGGATGTTAACTGGATACACACATGAGCGAATGTTACCCGGCCCGCAACGCAAGAGATTAAGCAGCATATTCCCCAAATGCCCTCCGGTAAGCGGCCAGGTTTGCCGTATATATGCAGCTACAGTAGTAAGCTGAAAATGGTCCCGCGAGCTCGTTAAGCACAGCACATGCTCCCACATATCGGGAGAGAGTGATAAGTGCAATGACCTTATGTACTTCTCCAGCTCCCAGAACAGACTGAACTCAATATGAATGATTGACGTCGACTCGTGGCTACTCATACCACGGAGCGATTCTTGAGACTTCAGGAATCGAAGTAGTTTCAACTTAATGGAACCACTTATGTCCGAGGATGGACAGTGCAGTTGAGTTCGCAGCTGCAGCTCTAATAGAAGCCACATATAAGCTCTTGAATTCGAGATGAAACGGTCCTGCGGTGACGGTGGCAGTGTCTCTTTGGATGCAACAAGGCTAATCTCGGATTCTTCGCTAAGCGTTGATTGCCCAGTAGTATCTATCCATTTGTCGACATTGTCTGGAAACTTGACGAATGGCAGCTGTGCCGAGACACCTTTTGACACATCGTGTGATGAGCAGATCGAGTCCACGTTTTGATCGTGAAGAGGCTTGCCTCCGATCACAATCTTGGCTATATCTCTGTAGGACTTTCTGTCAGTAACGCCTCATACAATAAAAACAAGGTGGTACATGTTGTGTCTATACATACTCACTCTTCTGATGAAGCTCCACTGACAATGCAAACTCGAAAGAAGTTGTGGCCTCCTCATATAGTCTCCCCGCAAATTCCTCCAGTACTGATCTCAATTCATAAGGCGATGTTTCTCTCATGTGCTGAAGAGCGGATTTGGACTTCGAATCGTTGATTAGGCATTGTGCGAAGACGTAAGCGTGTCCCGTTTGCTGGTTAGATGTACTAGAAAGCCTTGAGTGCACTTTTCCTCTATCAAGATCGAGCTGAGATGCCCTATCAAGAATTTCAGGTATGCGAGAAAGACTCTCGTAAGCATCCATCATTCGACGGATGTTACTCAAGTCTAAATACTGAAATTGGCTACTAGCGTCATCCAGAGATCCGCTGGAGACATAGCTCGGGTATATTTCCCTAGACGGCGAACCTACTTCTGGAAGTAGACGAAACGCTGGTATAGTAGTTGCCGGATTCTCTTTCGAGGCTATGGCTTTATCTTCTTCGTCGCTCGGTGCTTTGAGCTTCGTGAGTACGATGGATCGCTTTGAAGACCCAGTAAGGAGAACGGGATAGATATTCAGATGGCTCATTCGAGAGTTCAGCCCTTCGTAGAGCTCTGATATCACCACACGGTCATATACGTTGATATGCGCTCTCATGGATTTCGCCATAACAGTCGTGAATGAGGGTTCCTTCGAAAGTTCTGCTTCGGAATAACCACCCAAGCTCGCAAGCAACTGGCAGTGATCCGGTAGTTCATCCAACATGTTCTTGGTTGGCCTTTCCCCGGACTGTGTGGTATAAGAGCAATCTATCAGAAGAAGGAGATCATCTGTGAATTGGCCGATGGTACCTTGTATTTCGTCCCATCTGATGCGTTGGTTTGCTTCCGGATGACTGTGTAACGTGAGCCGAGGGATGATCTTTATACCTACAGCGTACTTACGGTCGCCAAACTACTTGTCGCTTTCGACCCTCAGAGTATCTATGTCTAATGTTGTGATGATCATCGACCAAGACTCCATCACCACTGTAATGAACAATGAGCAGGCAAGGCGTGCTAACATCTCTTCTCTTGAGTGCAAGCAACGTCGCTTGTCCTTTCATAAAGTCGAGCAGGCCAATGTGACTGTTGTACGTGGGAATAGGGTATAGCTCCGTATCAAAGTTGAGGCTTTTGAACACTGACTCCATCTTCCCGGCCTCCATGGCATGGTCTCGCGCACTATCGGAGTCTTTCCAGTACAGCATGACCGCTTTGACATGAACATATTGAGGAGGATCGCTGTCTTCGGACGGCTCAGGAGGCTTCTGGTATAATGCGGACTGCTCCTTAAACTTGGTAGCCATGATTCGAGGACAGATCTAATCGCCTGGTAGTGCTGAAGTCGGACAAGGCGAGGAAGAATGACAAGTGTAAACGACGGCCGCCACAAGACACCGAAAAACTGATGATTTCTGCCGACTGCTGTATAAACTAGAGATCAGTCTGGTCTAATGGCTGAGCGATGATCGTTCTAATCTCAGCCTTCCTGCAGGCAAGCCCACCACATAGCGGGTCAATAAATCCCTCAAATCCCGACGCCTCAGGTGAGGCTGACAATGTACACCCTACCCGATTCGTTACTTCGGTGAAGGACACGCCTTTTACATGCGCCGAGCATTTGAGCAGGCCATTTATTGGATCACCGGAGAGCTCGGCATGCATATTGCGAGAACGCCTTGCAGGTGAGGAGGGCTAGATGCCACAAGGCTGAAAACATGTGGCAACCCCTCCTTCGCTATTGCGCCACTAGGTATCGTCACTGCTCGAGAGATTTAGCATTCTCAATTAGGTAGGGATCCATTTACCAACAAGTAGTAGATAATATATACGCTCTGATGAAGCGAGTAAATACATAACGTTCTGCTAAGCATCTTGCGACACCTGGTAACGATGTGAGGGAAGCGTCGATCGGGTTCCTCCCCTGGAATGAACGCGAAGGGCTGAGGCACACCTGTTCTCGCAAAATTAACGACAAAACCGATATCATGAAATCTCACCGCTTCGAACGAGTGAGATGAGGCTGGGGATGCCAAAATTAAGTTACAGCCGATCTGTGACGTAACGTTGCCACGCAACTTCCACGATTGGAAGCTACCGGGGACCATGTAGACAACGTGCACATTACAAGAAACTGAGAAAGTTATGTACAGCTGTCAATGTGGTAGTGTCTCGTTTTAGTGTAGCTATACTGATGTCCATCGATATCGAGCCTTTCCTACATACCTCACTCACCCAACCATCGCAATTATGCTTCCAGAAAACAATGCAACGCTACCATCCACGCAAGCTTTCTCCTGACCGAAGCATGTGACGCCAAATCCCCTGATCGCAATTCCTCTCGCTTATCAACTTGTACCCAGAATGCACCCTACGAATCCCTACGTCTCCTCGGCGGCGGGCTACTATCATCCCTCTTGACCCTCGGTGCCGGACTTCCACTATCATCTCTCTTCATCCTAGGCGGCGGACTACCACTATCCGCTCTCGCCTTCCCATTGGCCTTCGAGGGTGGCGGCGGGCTACTACTATCCCTCCTGCGACTGCGACGCGGCGGCGGACTGCCACTATCCGCCCTCGCCTTCCCTTTCCCCTTTGATGGCGGGGCACTGCTCGAACCACGTCTACGCCTGGGTGGCGGAGTGCTAGAATCACGACCACGACGGCGCGGTGGTGGGGAGGGCGAACGCGAAGGAGAGGTTGTGTACTTCCGGCGGCGGGGAGGTGGAGAGCGGGATAGCGAGCCGGATGGGCTGCGTCCGCGGCGTGTCGATTTGGCTTTCGGGGGCGGAGAACGGGATCGGGAGGATGAGGGGCTGCGGCCGCGTCTCCTAGGTGCGGGAGAGCGTGATCGAGAGAGGGAGGTTGAGTAGGAGCGCTTGCTTTTGAGTTTGCGTGGTGCTGGGGAGCGGGATCGAGAGCGGGATGCGGAGCTGTAGGAGTCGCTTCTACCGCGGCCTCCACGTTTGCGGGCTGGCGTAGGGCTGCGTGTGTATGAGCGTCCTCTAGAGTCGGATCTGGACCTCGATCTGGAGTCGCGCCTTCTGCGAACCGGGCTTCGGGAGCGTGAGTAGCTGCTTGAAGTGTAGCTTGATCTTGACGAAACGCTGCGGTCGTCGTCGTCGCTCTCTGGCTCGGGTAGCGGTTTCGGCTTGGGCGCAGCGTTCTTGAGCCAGTCGCGCATGCCTTCAGTAAGCACACCCATACCGATCGCAGTGAAGTAGTTGATCGAGAAGCGGGTCTTGCTCTGGTCGTCGGCATCGGTGGGGAAGAGTCCAGTAAGGCTGTCTTGTAGCATGGGGTCCTTGAAGCGCTGCACAACGACCTTCTGCCCAAGAGAAGCTAGGAGCTCCTCGAACAAGATCTTGACGAAGATACGCGAACTGGAGGTGGTATCTTCTTCCGTCATCTTGACCACCTGGAAGACGTGCCAGCCGATACCGTCGGATGCTAGCAGATGCGCGAAGAACTGTGCGATGATACGAAGGCGGTTCGTTTCGAAGCGGTGGATAGTCTCGTAGTAGTGCGCGAAGGCTTCCTCGAAAAGGTCTGTCCACATCCTGTTCAGCTTGCAGAAGCGCTCTCCAATCATGCCGTAGAACTTCTCGTATGTGCGCTCCTGGCTGGCGCACTCGACAATCATCGTGGTGAGCTCGTTCTCCAAGCCATGCGGCAGGTTGATGCGCATGAGTTTGTGCACGCACTCCTCAAAGCCACCGCTGCTCTTGATGGTCAAGTAGATAGTTCGGCGCAGGTTGACCAGATCCGCGTTGGTCTGATCCTTGACGTCCATGGCCTTCACCTCCTCGTCCTCCTCATCCTCAGATGACGCATCTGTGTATCCATCGTCATCGCTACCCTCCTCTTCACCTAGAATCTCCGCCTTGATCTTTGTGTACTCCGCCTCGTGCGCTTCGTAATCGGGATCGACCTTGAAGATGTTCAGACCATCCTCAACCTTCAAATCACCCTCGAGCGTGTGGTTGTGGGTGATTTGATCCTCCTCCTCTACCAGGTCCAAATCCTCCCTAATGACTGGGTTGTCCTTATACTTTGTGCGCCGAACCTCGAACAGGACCTCAATCATGTACTGTGTTCGCTTGTCGATGTCGGCTTCGTGGAGGATGTTGCGCATCTGGTCGAAGATGGCGTTCGCGATCGCGGGCTTCATCTCGTCGAGGAAAGCACCGACCTCTTTCATGATACCAACGGCGATCTCAACAGAGTCGTCGGAGGGCTTGTTCAGTAAGAGGAGCAGGATCTCGGCGATCAAGATCTCGTGGACGACTTGCGTGTTGACGAGGTGCGAAAGGAACATGGTACTCGATAGCGCCACGGCCTTGTCGTTCCTCCTGAAACCCTTCCTGAACTGCACAATCAGGCGCCGAACCAGCAGATCGCCAACTTGAGGCAGTTTCGTGTTGACAATGGAGACCATAGCCGCGTAGATAGGCGTGAAAGGCAAACTCGCCGCTTGCGCCTTCATGATAGCTCTGCAGAACAGGCCGCGCCCGCGCACCAGGTTCTCCGAGAATAGCTCCGGCACAATCATCTTGATATTCGCAGTGTTCGTCTTGTTGATCAAACCCTGGATCGACTTCTTGAGCGCCTCCCAAGCCATACGCTGGAACTCAGGGCTGCTCTTATCCGTAATCGACTTCTGCATCTCGCGCAGGCGCGCCGGCGGGATATACGCGCCTCCAGCGCGTGTCTTTGAATCGTCAACGGGCAGCTTACGGTTCGCGCTGAAAGCATTCTGGAAAAGCTTCAAGCGCGAGTCGTCATCCGGAAGGTCGTTGGTCGTAGGCTTTGGCGGCGGGCGCCGGCCAATACCGCCATTGCGACGGTCGTCCTCCTCTTCGTCCCTCCTGCTTCGCTTTGATGGCCCGGCACTCGGTCCATCGTATGGGGAGCGCTCGCGTTTGCGCGGGACTTCGTGGGCGTCGATCTCGGGCTCCGGCGAGGGCAGACGGACGGCAGATGCGACCTCCATCGTCGCGCAGTGGGTCGTGTGTGAGGTGGAGGATGGCGAGTGTTGAGGCGTAGAGTGACGCGCTTCGCAAAAGTTTAGCTTACAGGCGGTTGGGCGATCGAAGGTTGCGGCGAACGGGCCGCGATTTCGCCGACAGGGGTCTTGGCTTGGCGCGACTTTGGGGGGAAGGGCCAGCGAGGTGATTGCAACCACCATTACTTCAAGCTAATACACTCGTTCACTCGTTCGCCAATCTTCACAATGGTATGCTCTCACACGCGTAGCATCCAAGGCTGTGCACTGACCAACCATCACAGGCCGATCGCCTCGTAGGCCTCAGCATGCTCGTCGCAGCGACTGCCATCTTCGTCTACTACACTGTCTGGACTCTGTTCATGGTATGCTTTTACACCCAATTGACTCTAGAACATGTTCTGACTGTATACAGCCATTTGTTGACGACGACCACATCCTTCACTCCCTCTTCCTCCCACGCGTCTGGGCCATCCGCATTCCTGTCATCCTCCTCATCCTGGGCACTACGGTCGTCGGCAGCTTCCTTTCAGTGGTTATGATCAGGAGCAATCGGAAGAAGGCACTCAAGGCCAAGCAGAAGAAGGCCTCATAAACGCTTACGGCATTGGGCCCGGGTCATAATCTTCGACAAGAGGGGTCAGCTTGGAGCGGCGCAAGAACATTCAGTTGCGTCAATATAATTGGATTGGTAGCTGGAGAGCCGAGAGGCATAATGAAGTCGTTCAGATGTTCAGTCTCGCCTACATAACATTGCAGTTCTCTTCCGTGATGACAACTGGTCCACCACCCTCTTCTTCCTCATCACCTCCACCACCGGCACCTTGCCCGCGGGCAATATGCCGTGCCAATTGCGCGAAGACAGCCTGGCTGATGAAGTAGTCGTCTCTTCCACCCTTCCTGTCCATGTCGTTCTGACTAGTAATTTGATAAGCTTGATGCATCCTTCGTCGACTGCTGAGTCCACCAGGGGCAACCTCATCGTCACTGTCGCTAGGGGCATCGACAGCAGGCTCACTTTCAGCCTCGGCCTCGGGTTCGGCAGCGCGGTTGCGACGCCGACGACCGAAGTTCAGACTGGAGAAAGCAGCTGGATCGGACGAATGCACTCCGACACCTTTCCGTGCGTTACGCTGGAGCTGCGCATCTGGAGAGAAGATTTTGATAGTGTGGTCGATACCGGAAACCGCCATCGTAGGTTCATAGGGGTGACCTAATCATATTAGAAATTGCCTCGCCGTGTTTGGATACTTAGACTTACCTTGAATGACGTTGACCACCTCTCCATCTCCCTCCAGAATGTTTACGAGTTCCGCTGTCTTGCGATCCCAGATGAACACGTGGCCAGAGTCGCTTCCGCTGACCACATATTCATCCTGCAGTCCGAAGTAATTGACGTCTTTGACTGTCCTGGCGTTGCAATGCCCAGTGTAGACTCGTGTATGAGGTACGCAAGGTACATCACGCTCCACCTTCCATCGCCCGTAGCGACTGCGGCCAAAGTCCGATCGCCATAACATGTTTCCAGATCTTGTACGGCTTAGCCCTTCGTCATCCTCGTCTTCGGTGTCGTCCTCTTCTTCGCCATCATCCGATTCTAAATCCCCATCACTGTCTTCATCGTCATCCTCCTCGTCTTCTTCATCTTCTTCATCAGCACTCTCAATAGCCACAGAACCCGACTCGTTCGCATTAGCGGAGCTGGAGACAACCTCTTCCTGATCACTACCCTCTCGGGCTGATGTGCTGATAAGTTCTGCATCGCGGACCGGGCCCTCGTCTACCGAGGGATCGATGTCCTCCTGCTTTTCTCTCAACGCCTTCTCTTCAGCTCTGATCGTCTTGTCAGATATGCCTTGGCCGCCGTAGGCGCGGTCTACGAAAGCGAACTTGATGTCCTTGGCGGCATTGCGCAAGACACCCCTTCCAACATAGTATACCCATCTCCGTTTAGCCGTAGCTCGAGTTTGTGTGGGCTCACCAGAAGATGCTGACTCTGATGTGGACTCATTCTCACCAGTGAGATCGGCAAAGGGTATCGTGATTGCATGGCCGAACGCATCAACAGCCTCAAACTCAGAGTCATACAAAACGCGGGTGCTGTCTGTCTCATATTTGGAAGCATCGACGTTGACGATCTTAGTGTCGTCTGCCAATTCGATCAGGTATGGAATCAGTCGTTCCTGGATGGCATCCATATCGGAACCATGGGGGATGGGAAAGCGAGTACTACCACTTCGGCTCGAAAATCCTTCAATAACTGCTCCAGGGCCACTGTCAATCCATAGCAGGATGGCTTTCAGGAAGTCGTATCCAAACTGCTCGTTTTGTGGTGGATCGCGCTCTCGGGGTGCCGGTTGTATGGAAGCGAAGTACTGGGCGATCAAGGCATCTGAGCTGGATCCAGTCAAGAGTTGTCCACCTAGCACCCGAGCCAATGTCCCGGCTGCCTGTACGAACCGACGGGACGCTGCCCTGCTATCGCGAAGCTTGTTTTGTACTGCAACGTCCACAGGATCTGGATCGATTGGGTAGCCCCATGTCCTATCGATGTCGTCCATGTCGGGCAAGATCGAGTTCGCTAGACCTACAATGGACGTGCATGCGAGGTGGATTCCAGACTCACCAAGTTCACCTAGCTCGAAAATTCGTTTCGCTATCTTGATGGTTGTACTTGCGATGCGGTAGTGGTCTGATGCTCGTAGATCGTTCAATTCCTCCTGGGTCATGCGGTTCTCAGCAGGGGGGTGAATGCGGATATCTTCGCTCTGTCCATTTCCGTAGGTCACTCGTAGTGCCAGATCCTCATCAGCACTTTCGGTACGTTGTCTTGATTCAGCTCTCTCAACGCCTTCTTGAGACAAGGTACTGGACTTTGGTCGCTTGCGCTTCCTGTTCGTGTCCTTCACGCGATGACCCGATCCACTATTCGAGGTCTTGATGGGCGTCACATTCTCTCTAGCATCTGGCGCCCGTAGAATATCAAAACTGTAGATGTGATCCTGCGACCAGCTCACAACGAGCTCGTTCGGCTCGGCATCACTGATTTTGCATGCTGTAATGTGACCGCCATCGTTTCTCTTCATGCGCTGCTTTCCGTTGGGCGCAAACTTCTTCACACATTGCGTCGCCTTCCCTAACAGCTCATCGTCATTATCGTTCCAATTCTCTGGACTCGAAAGCCTAGATCCACGCTCGTTGTTCAGATCGCGGCCTAGCATACGTCGATCATGCAAGAAGCAATGGAGATGTGCTCCACCTAGCGCAATGTAATGCGGCTGACTAGGAGAGCATGACACAGTATTGAGATCCAGTCCATACCGAGCATACGAGATGAGTGGCGGTGGGATGCTGTCTGAGGCGTCTTCATCTCTCGCCCATGCAGGAAGCATGGTGTCTCGTGGAGGTGGATATGCCTTGGAGGGTTGCCGTACATCCCATTGTCGTACCTCGCCATCGTTCGAGCACGTAAGGAAATAGAAGGGGTTGTCTTCAGTGACGATCCGCTTCACCGTGTCGGCGTGGCAACGGAATGCCTTCGCGTTGGTGTCTCCTTCGGTGAGCGTCAGTCTACGGCGTGCTCTGCCCGTACTGCCCGCATTGCCTGTAGACCGGAACGCCGAGTGCCCTGAATGCTCGATATCGAATATCCGTACATCGTCTGTGGCGCTGACAATTGTGCGGTCGTTGGAGTAGGGCATAAACTTCACAGAGAAGATATTGGACCTATGCCCCGTCTGAATCGAGGTGGTGAGATTAAACTGCGACGTCGAGGATTCGGGGTGGTACGAGTGGATGTTGATGCGATGGTCGTCGGAGCCAGAGGCGAGGAGGCGGCCAGATGTTGACCAGCTGCTAGAGTCAGAATATGTCACCGATGTATAAGTAGGGTCATTGTGTACCTAAGAGCATTGACGCATCCATTATGGCCTTCTAGTTCGTTCACGATATCGAGGTCGTCCACCCATTTGCGGTCGCCGTATATTGACCGAATGTCTGAGTATTTCCTGGGCTGTTGTCCGACTTCGCGCTTGAGTAAGCGATCATAGACAGTGTATTTCATCGTGGCACGTCGTGTAGTCTGCTGGAAGCTGGCTGAGTCTTGAGAATGTAGCTCGAGGAAGTCGCGGGAGGCAAGAGCTACCAGAGGCGATGCTTCCAGAAACAGCTAAGCAAGTGCAATGTGAGGCTGTGCAGGGAAATTCAGTCAGGTGGCACAATACGCAAGTGAAATCGCTTGTGTATGGGCATCGCGACAAAGGGGTTGTGGCGTCGGTGCAGGTTGCGCGTTCGCGTATGTTCAATGGTCGCGAGGGAATGACGAAAGGTGACTCCACCCACGTTTTGGAGCTCCAAGCTTCACCCCCGCGGCCTCCCGCAGCCGATCCCCAACATCCCATGCATCATTGAAGGGCCAGCCCTCGACATTATCAACAGTCACGGCATCACCTCTGATATCGCGCTATCCATTCATCACGACGAAAGACCTTGGGATTGACGCGTATGCTGTCGATGTCTCTACGAAGCGTGTGGACTTCTAGCATCTTCTAGGCTTGCATCGTTGTGAAGGTTGGCGGGCATAATTGATATTGACGAATTATGAACAGGAAGAAGAATCGCGCGTACTCGCATGGCATACAGCTACACCTAGTGGTATCTAAAAAAACGTACGAAGTGACATGAGAAACGTAAACATCCAACTACTAAACAACACTCTTCAATCATCCAACCTAGAGAAGTAGAACAGCACCAACCACACCAACAAGCATCATGAATCCAGCTCCAACACGGCTAGCAGCGCCCTCGAACTCCGCAGGCGGCATGTACTGGGAAGGCATGGCAGGCTTACCAGTACCAGTAGGCATAGGCGCGTACATGCTGGTACCGTTCATGGCAGGGCCGGCGGGAACGTAAGGAGCACCTCCAGCAGTTGGGTAAGGAGCGGGAGTGTAGGTGGACATTGCGACCTTGGTGAGGGTCATGTACATGGAGCTGGTGGCCTCCTGCTCGACGGGCTTCTTGGGGTACTCGGGCATGGCAGGGTACTCTGCGGCCTTGGAGGCCTCGGGCATAGATGGGTACTCAGCGTCCTTGGAAGCTTCGGGAACGGATGGGTACTCAGCAACCTTGGAAGCCTCAGGAGCGACAGGGTATGCAGGCATCGATGCCTCAGGAACAGCCGGGTACTCAGCAGCCTTGGAAGCCTCAGGCGCAACAGGGTATGCGGGCATAGACGCCTCAGGGACGGCAGGGTATGCAGGCTTGTCTGAGGACGCGGGCTTAGCCGGGTAGTCTGCAGGGTATGCGACGGAAGGAGCAAAGGATGGGTATGCGGGCACGTGGGTGGCGGTAGCGATGGGCTTGGTGATGGTCACAGTGACAGTGCTGGCAGTGTAGACGCTGGTGGTCCAGCCCTCAGGTACGTCGGTCGAGCCGGTGGGCTTTGCGCACTTGGTGCAGACCGTCGCGACGTATGTGGTGGTGACGGTGGTCAGACCAGTGGGGCAGACATCGACGTAGGTAGCTAGGAGATGTTAGTGATGATCTGTGTACTATCGGATTTGTTGCAAACTTACTTGTGACGACTGAGGTAGTGGAGCCCGCGGGAACCTTGGAAGACTCAGGGTACTCAGGCTTCTCCGTTACGGATGGCACGCTAACGTGACCAGTGCTGGATGCAACAGAGCCCTTGGAGCTCTCAGCAGGGTATGTAGCAGAGACAGTGTCGGTGGGGTACATCGGGGATGCGGTAGAGTATACACCAGATGAGTAGACAACAGACGAGTGGACCTCGGATGGGTAGATGGCAGAGAATGACATGCTGTACTCCATGGAAGGCGCGTATGGGGTAGAAGATGCGGCCTCGGGGGTGGTGCTGCAAGAAGTGGAAGAGACAGCTCCGGGGATGGACGCAGAGACAGTGTCAGTGGGGTACATGTCGCTGGAGCTTGAAGCACCAGGGGTAGTCGCAGAGACGGCACTAGTCGGGTACATGTCACTGGAGCTGGAGGCTGACGAGGACACTTCGCTGGAAGCAGAGGTCTCGCTCGGGGGAGGAACGTAGACGGAGCTGCTGGCGGTCTCAGAAGCAGAGATCGTGGCAACGGACGACGGCTCAATGAGGGTGCTTGAGACGGTCTCGATGGAACTGGAGGTCTCGTATACCGAGCTGGCGCTGACAGTAGCAGTGATCTCGGGAACGGAAGAGGACTCAACCATGCTGCTGCTGACAGATTCGACGGAGCTGGCAGTGATAGTCTCAGTCGGGAGAGGAACGTAGACCGACTCGCTGCTGGAGGCAGATGCAGAGATCGTAGCAATGGAAGATGGCTCGATCATGGTGCTGCTGACAGTAGCAACAGAGCTGGCACTCTCACTGGCAGTGGGCATCTCGCTGTAGACAGAGCTGCTCCCCTGGGCGGAAGAGGAGCTGGAGGCGACAGAAGACGATTCTGCCACGGATGAGCTGGAAGAAACGTGGACAGAGCTGCTGCTGGAAGCTGAGCTCGAGGTGACATAGGCAGACGAAGATGAAGCACTGCTGCTGGTGATCATGCTGCTGGGAGCAGGAGTGCTGGAGGAGACCATGCTGCTGGAGACAGGGGTGCTGGAAGTCATAGCGCTGCTGGAGATGGGAGTGGAAGACGAGACCATCGTAGACGAGACAGGGGTGCTGGAGGTTGATAGCTTAGTCGAAGTCGGGGTAGCGGTCGATGAAGACAGAGTGCTGGAGGACACAACAGGGTGGAAGTCCTTCTTGAAGGTGCCGTCAAGAGACTTCTTCATCCAAGTACCGAATGATTGGCCGTATGTTGGGTTCTCGACAGAGACAGTCGCTTCCCATAGCATGACACCGCCAAAGTTGGGGTTCTTCTTGTAGAAATCGAGCAAGTAGTCGGCATCTTCAGGCGAGACGTAGTGCTCCTTGTGGGTAGGGAGGCCGGCAGGACCGGCAGGCAATCCAATGTAGAACTTGGCGTTGGGGTTCATTGTGGTCTTGATCTCGTTGATCCACTTGTCGAAGGTGAAAGTGCTTGGCTTCCCCTTCTTCTTGTCATCGACCTCCTTGGCAGCAGAGCACTCCCAAGTGTTGTAGAACTGAGTGAAGATCATGTCGAATTTCAACAGCTTCATGATCGGGGAGATCCTAGCATCAGGGACGATGCACTGAGGAGCGGCAGAGAGAAGCATGCTCGAGTGTTTCTGGACGTAGTTGCCGAAGTGTTCGTAGTTGGCATAGATGAATTTCTCGTCGCCTCCAGGCATGTCGTAGAATTGCGCTTCGAGGTCCATGTCGAAGCCGTCTACGAACGCGCTTCCGAATGGACGCGGCTTGTCGGAGTCCTTCCATTCAGGGGTGACTTTGCCGTAGGCACCGAGCAGGAACTCCGCGGTCCATTCTGCGACGTCCTTGTTCTTGAGGTAGTAGTTCGTAGGCCAACCACCTCCGATGGAGAGCATGACCTTCTTGCCCCTCCTGTGGCAAGCATTGATAGCGTCCTCTATGCCAGGGCATGAACTGTACAGAGTGCTGTTCTGTTTCAGGACCGGATCGTAATATACATCACTGCCACACGCGTTGGCATGGTTGCTTCCGGGGTATGCGCCTCGCACCGTAGGGAACGAATTGATGACTGAATGTTCAGAAAGTATTAGCATTGCCTCCTATTCGAAAGAATAAAGATAGAGTAACTGACAACCGATGTTGACAATGTCGACGTTAGGGTCAGTGCAGACATCAATCAGTGGGATCTGATCGTATCCTTGTCCCCAGTACATAGCAATGTTCGTCTTAGCGGCGGCATCGTAAGTCGCAGCGACGCTAGAGACAAGGAGTCCAGCCGCAAAAGCAGCGCGAGTGAGGGTTGAGGGAGACATGATTATGGTATTAACGATATAAACAACGATATGCGATTTTGAATGATAGGACGGCCGAGGGCCAGTAAAGATCGTGATGAGCGGACTCAACGAAAGGACGCAAGCAAAAATGCTGCAAATAGGATGTAGACTCGAAAGAGTGACTTGACAACGAACTGGAAAGCAGTGCGACTGACGATGAGAAAAGAAGACATGGGAGATTGCACTATATCTAGTCTTGGCCCACAAGGCTGTACCTGCATGAGCGAGAAGGGTCGAACACTGACTGCGCCGTTTGGTGGCATCAGGCCATCGTGCAGATTCAGACGGCAGACATCGTGTGCCTGCAGGAACAGAACGATGGCTTCCGTAGTCCCATGCCATTGGTAGAGGTGCCTGGATCCTAACTGCTTCGGGTCTGAAGTGTCGTCGGGCGTCCAGCAGTACCTGCTTCTAGGCGAGCGCTAACCATCAACATGGCTTTTGGAAACGCTTCCATGCGATGCCTCACCCTAGCTTCAAGACCGGTGAATGGGCCGTGTCTAAGTATCGATAGCATCAATCTCGGTTAAACCGTCGAGAGTGCTCCTTCGACCGTCAGCAAAAGGAAGGAGGGTTGCTGATGCATAATGGAACGGCTCAGGACGGCATCCGGTCCAGCTTCCCGGTGGCGTCGTTGTTGCATGCCTATAGTATAGATAGAAACACAAGGCCAACACCCTCTGCTTCGGTTGGTATTACGTCTTGCGCTGGTTTGGCAATCCCGGGTGAGTTGGAAGAAGAAGATCCTGGTGCCAAAGCGACCTCCTGGATCTGCAGTCGGTACCCGTGGACAGTGTAAACACCGGGTCTCTCGGTGGCTGCCTGCAGGAATCTTCTCATGGCTGCATGGCTGCAGTGGTTTCATCCCAATGGGGGTACCGGTCCGAACAAATTGGTGAGTTGGTGTTGGGATGGCGTCGGCTACGGCTCAAGCGATGCTTAAGTCAGGGGCACCGAGCGTTAACCATGCCCTTTTGAGACAGACCCTTTCAGCCCTGTCAGAACCGCATCCTTCAGTAAGGGTTTCTATCTTCAGCCGTCTTGGCTTGTGTGACAGTAGCGATCAATACAAAGACATGGCCTGCTCGAGCACTTACGCCCTGATCATCTGGTTGCGCCCTTCGTATACATATCATCCGCCTAACCGTTCTTCTGCCAGATCAGTCAGCCAAGATTTACGGCGCAGTATTCTCGGTGGAGAGGTGTGTGGGTCTAGCCTGAGACTAAGATTTCTTGTGGGAGGTTCGCGACAGTGGCTGCCCATTGGCATCGCGAAAATGACACGCCCAAGGGCTAGCAAACGTGCTGACGCGGGACCAATGGTTTGACCACGGCGGGAGCTATTGAAAGCTGCATCGCAGCAGCGGCCGTAAGAATAGCTTCTCGTCCTTCTGAGTCATCTGCAGTGCCGATGTCCCGTCATCGTGAGCATGTCGCAGGATTTTGGAATGTAACCTCGGAGCGCGCGCGTGCCGCAGATTGCTGGGCGAAGGAGTAGGGAAGGGCGCGCATGTCTATTGCGCTGGAGCCTTCTTTGAGAGCTCGCGACAAGACTCTGCACGCTCGCGCACGAAAGCCAGAAGGACATGACATATGCGCAGTAATGCGTGGCCTGACGGGTCCGGGGTCTGCAACGTGAACGGGTTGCGCAGTCGGTGCGAGGTGATGTGCAGACCCGCGGCGGGTGGGTGCCCAGTGCAAATCATGAGCTTGCGTTCGCCGATCCCCATCCAATACGACCGCGCGGCACTCTTCTCTGCAAGCTTAAGCAAACCTCACATCGCCTAGGAGAACGACAGTGGTGAGTGAAGTTGTACAGAATTCGTGTCTATCTATTCAGTCTAAGCATGTATTATAAAAGTCGTAAGTTTCCTAATGTCCCTCCAAAGTATGCCCGTCCGTGTCGTCTAATTTCCAGTCGGCGTTGACGTAACGCAGCTCACAAGCCTCCATTTATTACCTCACTTTCATCAAGCGACAGCAAAGCGACTCCGCTCTCTCAATGTCTTGCCGTACCTGTATAGCGCAAAGATGCCAAACGAACACAACACCATGCATCCCGCCAGCAAACTCACACCACCATCGATCCCAATACCCTGAAACATGGGCCTCGCGAACAGGATCGCCGCGAATGCAAACGCGCTTCTGCTAAGACTATTGGCACTGAAGATGCTGGCTGCGTATGTCGGATAGATGTTGGGGATGTACAGCAAAACGCTTTGCGCGATGAAGTAGATCCCAAAACAAGTAAGACTGAGACCAATGGTAGGCACCATCCAGTGGACCGAGGGTCTTGATGCCCATGCGAACATGAACAGCCCTACAGCGATGACGGGACTAGCTACCATGCCGGGCCATAAATGGTTTTCGAGCTCGCCAAATGTTCCGTTCATGAGGCGAGGGAAGACGCGGTACTTGAGGTACAGCACGTGTGCTCCGAAGGCGGCAAGGCAGGCTGGGAGGATACAGAGGAAGACGAGGCCCGTGGACTCGGCATTGAAACCATAGTATACAGGGTATACGAGGGGTAGTGACTTTGATGGATGCGTTAGTGAGTGTCTTTGTGGCCTGAGCAAGCTGAGTACTTACCTCGAAGAATGAGTAGTAGATGCCGTAGCACAGGCCCATGTACACCGTCGTGAACAAGATGGCAGGATCGAGGGCATTGATCTCCCAAGGCTTGACCAGCGCGTCGAAGAGCAAGCTGCTAATCTTCATGTTCTTCTGCTTTCGCTCAGAGGCCGACATCAGCTCCTGGTTTCCTGTATCCTCTCGCATGCGCTTCGCTTTGTAGTACAGGATGGTGGGTCCGGAGCTCTCCGGCAGTACCAACAATATGGCGAGGTATACTGGACCTGCGATGATGAGCAGTTCCCAGCTTGAGAAGCGCCAGCCCAAATCCTTGACGGCATACGAAGATAGTGTAGGTCCAAGTGCGGGACCGAGTGTCGCGACCGCCGCCCAGAGCGCAACCGCAAATGGGAATTCAGCCATCGTCCAGATGTCACCGAGCGATGCGCCAGCCGTGGCGAGACAGGGTGAGGCCATGACTGCGCGTCGAAGTTAGTATGTGTCGTAGAATTGATCCAAAGAACGTCACTTACATCCCAGGAGAAAGCGCAGTACCATCAGACCAGCGAAGTTGTCCACCAGTGCAGTCGGTATGCACAGGATGATGAAGAAAAAGCCAGATACCGCATACGGAGGGTTCCTGCCGATGGCCGGTACTTCAGATAGCGGCGAGAAGAGCAGACATCCTATACCATAGCCCAGAACGTAGAGCGCAATGCCGAGCGAGGCCGCGACATGACTGACGTCGAACTTGTCCATGACCGCTTGTTGTGAGGATGTGTATATCGAAGAGCCAACGTACACGGCAAAGGTGTAGACGCATAGTAACACAGTCACAAGTATCTTGTGGGACTGAGGCCAGTTCTGAGGGTTGCTTGGGTCGCTTGGTCCATCCCAGTCGACGAGTGTGGTTTGGTGCTGCTTAAGCTCTGTGCCAACAGCATCTCCAGCTCCAGGGACGGCTTCCTTTGGGAAAGGGAGATCGTCAGTCGACGACGATGTAGATATTGGCTTGGCTTTTGTACGCGCATAGTCAAATTTTCGATGCTTGATGTAATGGGCTAAGGTTCCGATGAAGGAGTGCTTGAAAAGGTATGACATTTTGGCGATGCTATCGTAAGGTTGCCGATTGGGAGGAGATGCCAGACAGAACAAAGAGGTAAGTACAGGTAGCAGTAGCGGCCCTGGACTGCCAGATGTGAGGAAGATAAGAAGGTTCCGAGGAAGGCGGGCTTGTAAGATAAGTATTGAAACGTGGTGATGTTGCACAACACTGAGAGTCTGTGCTACAGGCTTATATCCTCCATCGTGGCTGCTATCTTAACTCCACGTCTTACACGCCCATCATCTGGGTTTGTCAGACTCTCGCGCAAGTTGAAGGTACAGCTCTTGGCGCGGAAAATAAACAACAGAATATTGACGTTGTGTCAGCGAATTGAGCCATGGCGATAGCGTGTTCTTCGCATATATCCCCGATAGCTCCTGAAACGGCAACAATCTACGAGGGTGAGTCTCACTCTCGACCACGTACCGATACGCCATTGCAGGCTACAGTGAGTACTAGACCGATCTAGAGATATCCAGCGCTGCGACTCGTCGGACACTTCTCTGACGTTAGTTCAACGAAAAGCCTCTGCAGGTGGTGTTAGCGGAGTCAGCGGACATAAAACGTGACCGGACGTCAGATCTGATGATTCATCGACCAATACCTGCGGCATATGTAGAGTGTATACATATAATGATGTCGCTTGGACGGACGAATGTGCGGAGAGGTCGGAGATGCGAATGCTCGAGACACCAGATTGGCGGGATAGGAAGCGAGGTAAGCATGTACCACCCGAAAGAAGTAATCACCGATCAGCCTCAAAGTCTCCGGTCGGAGTCATCCTATCATAGTGGCCAGAGAAAGCGATGCGTACTCGAACATGATGAGATTACTGATAGCAGACTTACCAGATTGTCAGTACATAGGGTATCGATAGTCCTCCGGTGGAAACGTTCGACAGTATTCGTCCGAAACCACAAACTCTCCGGAATTTGTAAGTCGATACTGCGTGTGCGAAAAAGCAGGGTCGATGCGGATGACAAAGAATGGCTGCATCATCAGATGTGGCTGCTCGCAGCTTCTGCTATTCGTTGAGCCCAATCGTCCATTGATGGCGTAAGCGGTAAGCACTATGATATCTTATCGCAAACGCATACATGCCTCAATTTCGCAAAAGAAAGTAGTCGATTTGAAAAGATCCATCGTCGAAGTCAGGAAAGGTCCATGGCCAAGTCGTCCTGTCTGGCCTCGAGAGCTAGGGCTGGGTGGGGCAACCACGTGATGCGGGGACACTGACGTAAACGCGTCCGTCGCGTCTGGCCCCTGACGCCGTCGCTGTCACCCAGAAGTCATCCAGCACACT